ACTACTACCACTACTACTACAACAACAACAACAACTACTACTACTACTACTTCTACTACTACTACTACTACTACTACTACAACTTCTACCACCACCACCACCACCGCTCCTACCGTTGGTACTGCCAAAAGATTTGTTCGTGCCAGCGTTAGTTTCGATGATGAGTATGGTTTGCTATTTTTGGCCAGCCTGAGCCTCTCTTCCTCGTTTGCCGTCGGCATCGAATTAGGAGAAGTAGTTAGTACAACAACGTTTTACAGTCGTAGCAGGAACAATCTACAACAAGCTAGCGCTGAATCACACAAGCACTTGATTCCCAGGCCTGCCGCTTATCCAGGCAGATCCCTCCTACTAAACGGCAGGCCATGGAGGGCTTAGGCTGAGAGGTTAAGACAACGCGAAGCATGATTGGCTCCATAGCCGCTGTGGTACTGCAGCCCGATGTTGTTCACTAGTGAGCATGCCCTTTGTCGTTGATCAGGAGCTGTACAACAAGATGGCATCTGCGGGTCTTTTCGACACGCTGGCCGTGTACTTTAGTGCGGAGCTTACGACAGGAGAGATTCACTCCTTGAACCAGTGGCCCTTTGGGTTGATCATTTTGATTGTAGACGGATGGCTGTGAGCACTGTGCGTGCCATCAGACGCTGGCCATAATGACAGCACGCAGGATTAGTAGGTGTGGCAGGTGTGCTTGTTGCCTCACTTGCTTACCCTACAGCTCGGTGGCATGTTCTCTAGGATCAAGAGGAGTTGTTCTGCTACTTTCCATGCTCGTCCGTTACTGTGAGCTGTGGTGCAACACTCTCAATGATTTTTTCAGGCTGCACCAGTATGTCATAGTTCATGACGCTTCAATCGTTACTCTTTGCTAACATGTAATGACGGGCGACAACCAGTCGAGTCGACGGCAGATGGCCAGGAGTGACTGTTTGCATTTTCAGTGGGTAGGCATGTGCAGTGTTGTTGTTGGGCAGGATCCTTTCCCGATCAGCATACTTGAGTTTTCGTCGAATCTAATCTGTACGTGGTAAATGCATTCTCGTCTGCCAGGCCAGGGTGTTTGCACATGTGTATGTGCAGGTGTTTCCAGTGTTCACGAACTGCATTTTCCCTGTCGCGGCAAACGCCCCTGTTCCGAGATGCCCCGGCAGAGCGCGATGGGGAGCCAGAGGAGCGCCAGGGTCGGGATGGATTGATTTTTGAAGGAGACCTCAGATGGGCGTTTCCGAAAACAAGGGACCCTAATATAGTACTCTAAGTAGTAGGATCCTTATTATAAGGACGCCATAAGGACGCCTAAACAAGGTACCCTTTATTTTCCGAAACCCCAGATCGTCCAGTTGTTCTCTAAGGCCTGGGTCCAGGCCCCACCCCTTGATTTCTGAGCTTTAGGATTTAGGGTTTAGGGTTTAGGGTTTAGGGTTCATGGTTTAGGGTTTAGGGTCCCTCTCCCATTCCCTGCGAACCGCGAAGGGGGGAGTCCGGAAACCCGCCGAGCATCCGGCCCAGCACCATGCGGTGGAGGCGCGAGTCGGGCCGGTGGGGGAGACCAAAAGGCTGAGAGTTTCGGGTTTAGGGTTTAAGGTTTTAGGGTTTAGGCTTTCCGGAGACTTGGTTGGCATGTATCCGTAAGCTACTGACGTGCTGCTTGCGGGTGTGCTTCTTGTTTCTGTCCTGGTTGAGTCGCTGCAAACCAGATGCAAAAGGGTTTAGGCTTTCTCGGGGATGTTTTTATCAGAGTACGGATCCTGTCGAGCAGGGAGACTGTCGCTGGCTCATGATACGACAGGTTTCAAACATGGCAAGATTGGAAGCCCACAACCAGCAATCGAGCCGTGACCAACTAAACTCTTAACCCCACGCCATCTCCAGAGCAATTTTGGCTCCAGCCATTGATGCCCTTTTTTGGCAAACAAAACCGACGAAGGCTTGTGAATTCCATGTCTCTTCTGCTGGCGCTGAGCCTCAGAGATGCGAACCTTCCATAGCCAATTCGATGTTGCGTCTGCAGTTCTCACCCAGAGCAAATTCGATGCCTCATCTGCTGATTCTCGGCCCCTGAGAGATGCAGTCCATCCGGAGCACTTCTCGCACGTGGCCGTGCCGTTTAGCTGGACCATAGCCGTGCCAGCGCTTGTTTGTGTATGTCTTCTCGTCCTGCACGAGCGACGTGTGGAGGCAGGAGCAAAACCTCTGCTGGCGAGCCACAGCCGGAACAGCACGGTGCTGCTGCAGACGGCATTTCTTGTATTTTGGATGGTTCCTTTTCTCATCGACTCCATGTTCATCTCGTTGTCACTGGACTTTGCCTTAGCCATGGGCGAGTCTGCAACTGCCAGTGGTGTTTTTCTCGGTGCAGCCGCGGCGGGTTCTACTGTCGGGATCGTCATAGGACGGGGCTTCACTAGTGAGACAGACTGGAATCAGAAATATGCTCGAAAGATTTTTGTCTACATGTACGGGCTTTCCTTGATGGCCATGCCGGTCATGGCTACAAGCATACAGACTTCGGTCGACTGGAGCCCTGGCGGCAAGAGGCAGATGTTTTGGTCCGTGGTCGTGCTGAACTTTTGCACCACATGCGTCGGGAGCATTCCAGTAGTTGCCTGGAGCACCATGTGGAACATTGTCACGCCACAGAAGGAGAAAACTTTCTGGATGATGCTGACTCAATCCGCACGGAACGCCGGTTTCATCCTTGGTCCTCTCTACTTGGCAGGCATGAGTCATGTCCTTCGAAGGGTCCGGGATGTCCGAGCTGTATCCCCAATTAGCATGATGAGCTGGGCTTTCATGGGCTCCTTCTTCCTCCAGCTTTTGGAGTTGGCAGCCTACTCCTTGATCATCCCCACCCACCTTCAGCCAGCCGACGGCGCAGAAGCGCCGGAGGCCCTGTGCGAAGAGGCTTCCGATGTACATCCCGAGCAGCTGCCAGCTCCGGCTCGCGAGGAGATGGTGTGGGACGTGGTCTTCTACCTCTACGAACGAACCTTCTCCACAGGAGCTATCGAGGTCGCCACGATTATGCTTCTGGAGGTTCCTTACGGATGGTCTCCCGAGCTCGGTGGAATCTCTTTTGTTGTGATTGCTGCAGGAAGCTTGCTGCTTACCGGAGTTTCGGCCATCGTTCTTTCGAAGAAGCTTATGACTGAGTCCAACATATTTCTGCTCATGACGTGCTTGGGCTTCGCCGGTTCCATCTTTCTCTTTGACTTGAAGTTCTTCGGTGCTGGCGCTTTGCTAGCTGCTGATGCCTTTGTCTATGGTGGAACGAGCGTTGCGACTGGCATTGCCGAGGGTTGGGCGTGTCGTGCGGCAACTCCCGAGACGGCATACAACATCGAGGCTTTCCGAGCGCACAGCGTAGCGGGCGTGAATGTCAGTCGATTTTTTGCCCCGATCGTTGCACGATTCCTTTTGGAATTTGGAGGGCGGAACCTCTATGCAGCCGTGCAGTCATTCCTGTGCTTAGTGGCTGCAGTCACAGTACATCGGATTGTTTCCTCTGCGGCGGCGTCTCAGCAAGCTGTCAAAGGACAGAAGGGACCCGACGAGGGTGCAGACTCCGGTGAAGCGAGTGTCACCATGCATGAATGACTCGGCGGACGGTGCCGTATGCTGAGAAGCCAAAAGAAGGTAGAAGCTGATGGCTCTGTACGGATGCTGTTGCTTTAGCCGGGTGAGCGGGGACCCATCACTCTAACTGGCAGTGGCTGGCTGTTGTCAGGAACGGGTTGTAGGGACTAGCTTTTACCCGCAATGACTCAAGGTGGCTGTTGCATGTCTGCCGTGCTGTGCAAGCCTCGCCTGCCCAATTCGAGAGTCCAGACTTAAGATGCCCGGTTCCTGTTAACTTTTCTAATGCAAGATATCAGCCATTGCAAATGTTTTCCAGGTTTCTGGCTGTCATAGTAAAGCTAACAGGCACGGGGACATCTCATGTCCAAACCACCACCGCAGTTGAAGACGCTTGGCAGGAAGCAGAATCCTGTTGAACCTGTAAATCCTGTGCGAAGTCCTGACCAGGTGCTGCTTTTGCACGCTCGGAGCTTGGCGGGTTCCGATTTAAGTGAACAGGCTTTGGCTTTGGGCTTAATGGCTTAATGGCACGGGGATTTGAGGTTCTTGTTTTCCAGGATATGGGATCGTGATGGGACGTTCCTGGAGAAGAGGGAACGGAGAGCCTAAACCCTATAGCACCTTGGTCTAGGATCCAACGGTGATGTAGGCGCATTAGGAGACAGGTGAACCCTCAACCCCGAACCTTAGAACCCCAAAGCCTGAACCCGCTCCAGTTGCAAACCGGATACCGTAAAACCCTCTCAAACTCAAACCCTAACTGTCTGTTGTTTCACTTCATTCCAGGTCATGCGCCAATAACCTTGCATTGCTTGGCCGAGTGTGAGCGCCGAAACCAGACAGTTTCGTCGAGAGAGTCCGAGTTCAAAACGTAAAGTATTCTAAGCCGGGAACCCGAAACCACAAACCGAGAGTGCCAAACCCGACAACCAAGACCCCCAAGACCCTAAAACATAAAATCCACAACCCCAAGCCCAAAATCAACTCTAACCACAACAGCATCAAACGCATCAGAACAACCCTTTACAATCTCGGAGGCCTTACCGCAACCCGTGCAGTAACCCGCAAAAAGCTCTACAAAAACCACTGGAGGCCACCTGCCATCCCGGGCTCTTGAGAAATTGGCTGCTGCAGGAGAACAACGAGGCTCAGCTGTCTAAATAAACCCGAAACCTTCGCATTTGGGGGGAGAGAATTAGGAAGCCAAAAAGAACATAAGCATAAGCGTTTTAAACGGATATCCCTACCTCATTGGGCTTCATTATAAGGGGGTTGATATGGGATATCCCTATCCTAATTTTTGCTTATGTGCTTGTTTGGGGCCCGAGGAGAGAGGGCTGAAGGGACTCAGGGCCTTGTGCATCACACAGCGTCAGCAAGAACTAGCAGTAGTGATGGCAAGACCTGCCTCTTTCAGGAACGCTGACAAGGACGGAGGCCCAAGCAAAGCTGCAACGAGACACTCCCCTGAAGCCCTAGGGCCTGAACTTCACACTCCATTCCCTTCACCATGAAACCCTGAATCCCGAACCCCCGAAACCCTGAACCCCAAACCAACCTCGACAGGCATGTCCCAGCTGTGAGTGCAGAAACCCTAAAACCCTCAAGCCCAAACTCTAGCCTCTACAGAACCCCAATGCAGCCGCCCGATAGTAACGCCAACCGGATGGACCTTCAAGGTCTTTCAGGATGGGGTCTGTTACAATACCACTAGCATCGCCAATGCTACTGCCGCTATCAGTAGATTTTCGCTATTCGTGTTAATCTTTGTGGCAATGTTCTTTTACCCTAGGCCCTAACTCCGTGACCCCAAACTTCTGAACCCTGTTGTGCAAGAGTGAGAGTCGAAATGCCGTGGTTTCGCAAAGCCCAGCCAGGCTGGTCAGAGAGTGCTTCGTGCCGATGCCTCGGTCTGGCGATGGTTCAGAGGCTTCGGGAGCTCGGGCGAATCAAGGGCTGAAGCCTCATGCCTTAAGATGTGCAGCCCTGAGCGTCGAAACCCTAAACCCCTAAACCCCTAAACCAGAAACCCCTAAACCCCTAAACCATAAACCCCCAAACCCTAAACAAAAAGCCACTAAACCATAGGCCCCCTGACCCTGAACCCTAAACTGCGCTACACTCTGAAACCCTATAGGGTTTCGGGGGAAGTTTCGGGTTAACTGCTCGAGACAACCTGCCCCCCCGAAGGCGAGGAGTTCCATCACCGAGCCCAATGTGAACTTTGTGTTTTAGGGTTTAGGCTTTGGGTCTAGGGTTTAGGGTTTAGGGTAGAGGGTTTAGGGTTTTAAAAACCCGAAAGCCCCAATGCAAATCTTCGGCTCAGGTGCTAATCCAGCTCATGGTGCACGAGGAGGACCAGGCAACTCTTGGCACTCTTTGCTGGAAGATTCCGGGCGCCGCGGCTTGGGGTTCAAGGGCTGAGCCGAAGGGGGGCTTCGGGGGTTCTGTGTTAGAAGCACAAGGAACAATCTCGAGAACCGTCTGCACAGACTTCGTTCATGCTTTCGTTCTTCTTGCTGGGTCCCATCGCGTTGAGTTCCGATAGGAGAATGCTGGCAACATGGGCAGGGCGGGGATTCCAGCGTGCAGTGGGAGGAATAACAATGCAAGTGGCAACTAAGTGTAACCACACTCGTGACAATCGTCACACGGATTACTGGAGCTGGTGCTTGTTTCAATTCTCCTGCGTACTAAAGCCTCGCTCCAATACGTCTAGTCGCCGTAGCAGCAACAACAGGCTTGACTCCACAAAGCATCATGCGGCATGCCAACCAGAATCATACATCAGCCTTAATCTCGGAGAGCAAGCTTTGCCAGCTCGAAGACTCCAGTTAACTTGTGCTACTGCGTAGTTGAAGCTACGGGCATATGAACGGGCTGATACAATAAATGCACTTCTTGGTCATGGGCTGCACGGCACTTGGAGATTGGCTCGTTGTTGTAGGGGTTGGAGCCCCGGTTAAACGAGCCCACTCTTGCCAGGGCGTGCAGAGCCAGATTTTTGAAGTTCTCCGTGCTTGGCCTCAGAAATGTGCTCGTTTACAGCTTCAAGTTCAGGCGTCGCGAGTTTGGTTTGCTTTTGGGTGCTGCGATACGTGGACCTCGAGGTTGGTCTTGGAGGCTTCGTGGAACTCTGGGGTGAACGGAGAGGGAAGCGATGAGGAGCATGTGGCCGGTCCCACCTGAACTCTGCATCCCGACCTGACACAACCACAACCCTGATCCCACATCAATGTCAGTGGACGCTCCACAAACCGAGATCGAACTTCAGGCGCGGTCATGGATCCAGCTTCCTTGGAGCAGCAGGAGCAGGAGAAGCGTCCCGGCCTCGGGCTCACAGGCACTCGTGCAAGAACGGCTCGTCAGATGCCTGTTGACGACGGCTGAGAGTGGGGATGCTGGACCGCACTGCCTAGCAGTCCTGCTGCGGATTGCTTGTGCATCTCCGAAATCTTTGCTTCTTTTCCTTCTGGGCGCAACCCACACTGTACGAACAGATAGAAGTAACAAACGCAGTGCGGAGCAACGTCCCTCCGAGCTTCTTAATCACAACCACAGGACAGCCCCGAGTGCTTTCAAGCAAGCGTTTCTGAAACACCGGTGACCCCAACCAAGCCCGACACCCTGACCAGCCAGGCCTGGATGTGTTTTACGACCAGGGCATCATGGCCGTCATTGCGGAGCCGCTGCGACCAGACCATAAAAGGTCAGGCGGTGTGCAGGCATGGGCACGGACGATTGAGTCTGTCGTTTGTCTGTCCATCTGTGTGTTTCGCTTGTCTATCTCGCCCCCGCTCTCTCTCCTCCCTCCCTCTCCTCCTCCCTCCCTCCCTCCCTCC